GAATACGCCCGACCTAACCCAATGCCCTGGCCAGGGCTGCCCCCCCCACTCCCGGGCCAGGGCCAGGAGCTGCTGAGGAGGAGGGGGGCGGCGAGGGAGGATGACGAGGGACGAGGGACGAAGGCGAGAACGAGGAGGAGGAGGAGGAGGAGGAGGAGGAGGAGGAGGCGGACATGCCCGACCTGACGCTCCCGGCCTTCTCTGGGGGCCTCTGGCCCCCAGGAACCCCCAAAGGGCCCGTCGGCGGCTGCACGGCGCGCGGCGCGAGGCCTTGCCGGGGCCGCAGGCCCCCCCCGAGCTCCGGAGGTCTCCGCCGTCGGCTCCAGAGTCGAGCTGGCTCGGCTTCGCCTTAAGCTGGGCTTGTCCCTCTACAGGGGGAATATTCCAAAATAGTAAAAATCCGTCTTTTTTCAATGTGCCATATATATACATAGTTTTTTTTTTTTTTTTTTTTTTTGTCAATGCTATTTTTTCGTCCAAAATCCACCTGTAGGGTGACATGCTCGACCTAAGCCTCGCCAGTGCCTGTCTCAGTATCGTTTAACCGACCCTCATCCTGGAGGGTTTCTCCGAAGGGCTTAGGCGACCCGTTCTCCTCCTCCTCCTCCTCCTTCTCCTCCTTCTCCTCCTCCTCCTCCTACTCCTACTCCTCCTCCTCCTCCTCCTCCTCCTCCTCCTCCTCCTCCTCCTCCTCCTCCTCCTCCTCCTCCTTCTCCTCCTTCTCCTCCTCCTCCTCCTCCTCCTCCTCTCCTCCTCCCTACTCCTCCCCCTCCCCCTCCTACTCCTCCTCCTCCTCCTCCTCCTCCTCCTCCTCCTCCTGCTCCTCCTCGGGTCGCCTACGGCCCCGGGGGAAACCGTGCACCCCATCCCCATCCCCATCCCCTTCGAGACCCCCGCCAAATTACCCCACCAGTTGGGGGCACACCCCGCGAAACCCGAAGGGAACGGCCTATATCCCCATCTATGGAGGGTAAATCGGCCAGTGGGTCCCTGGCCACGCCACGGGGGATAGGGATCAGATAAACAATGCTCACTGCCGGCTCGATGGCACTGCAGATTCTCCGCCGATGCCTGCCGTCAAATCGGGCAGGTCCCTCCTACAATATTCCTGAATCGACAGACTATGTTTCTACTATTCTTCGATATTCCTCTAAATGAGGAATATTGCAGACTAGTAAAAACATATCTTATCGATTCAAGAATGTTCAGAAATCGTAAGACATATTCAAGGAGAGAATATTCAAGACTAGGAGCTGTTTTGGCTATCTCCGCCTGCAGGAGGATTCGCCCGACCTAAGCCTGCCGATCCGATGTTCAGATCGATCCAAATCGACTTGCCGATGCGATGCCAGGGCCACCTGCTCCCTCCCCGGGCCCGGCTCTTCATCCCGAGCGGCACCTTGGCGGCGTCGGGGCCTGGCTGGGGGCTCACGCGGAGGCCGAAAGTGGCCCAAAACCTTCCGCCCTGCATTTTTTCACAGCGCGAGCGGGAGGAACGAAAAGCGCCACCACCACCGCCACCACCACCACCACCACCGCCGCCACCACCACCACCACCACCACCACCACCACCACCACCACCACCACCACCACCACCACCACCACCACCACCACCACCACCACCACCACCACCACCACCACCACCACCACCACCACCACCACCACCAGGGGTGCCGCCTCCAGCGAGGAGGTCCACGAGGCCTCCTCGAGCTGGGGGCGGGAGGCGTCTCGAGTGGGGAGGGGGGGACCCGCCACTGGGAGAACCACACCCCCCCGTGGCCCCTCTTGCTGGTGGTGGTGGTGCCGCTCTTCTTTGCTCCTGCGCGAGGGGCTCTGGGTGGAGGGGGGGGCGGCCGCGAGGCGCTAGAGCCCCCAAAAGATGGCCTCCGAGATGGCCTCCAAGATGGCTCAAGATACCTCAAGATGGAGCCGAGGGGCTGGGGTGCCCGTGCCTGGACCCGATCGCGTCGCCGAGCGGGAGCGCCCCCGCAGGCGCGGTGGCCGGGCGGGGCTGCCGGAGGAGTCGTTGGCCTCGGCGAGGGGCTCGATGGCACGGGTCAGTTTCTCTTGGGCCCAGGGCTGCACAGGAGGCCTTTGGTGCACAGCCACCGTGCCTGGCTATGTGGAGCCATCCCTTCGGCCCTGGCATGGCGCGCACGCCCTCCGCCATGAGCTGACAGCCAGCACCCACACCGATGCGCCCCCCAGACTTCTCGGGGGTGTAGAATTCCCGGGGGGTGGGGGTGGTATGGGTGTGTGTTGTCGGACGGGAGCCCCCGCTCGAACGGGAGCGACCCTCGGGGTCCGATGGCTCGCGCCCATCCCTGTAGCGCCTTCGTCGCCTTGCCCTTGCCCGTTCCTCCTCCCTCCAGGTTTGAGTTTGTGTGCGTGCTGCGATCTCATCACTCCAGGGGCCTGCAGGCCACCCTCTGAGGCCCAGGATGGCCCTGGCCAGGCATGGTGGCGGTGTGCCGAAGTGCCTTCTGCGGACGGGCGCGGGTGCCGCAGCCCCCCCCCCCGCGCCCTTCCTGTCCTCGTGGGCGCCTCGGCCTCGGCAACGGCAGGATCGTAGTGTGTTCTTGCGCCGCCCGGTGCGCTCGCTTCGATCGCCTGCTGCCTGCCGTCGTCGGCACGTTCGAGTCCATCGATGTCCCTGGTCTTCGCTTTTTACGGGCAGGAGGTGGTCAGCGAGGACGGTGGATTGGGCCGCGTCGTCTACAGGGGGCATCCCACGCCTCTGAACGGCCACCGCTCTGGGGGATGGTACTTTTCCTTCGTGTCCAGGGCAAGTTGACCGCCAGTGGCCCAGAATCGGTCAAGATGACATTGCATCCGCCAGGGTCAATCCTCTGCTTGGGCTAGGGCCGCTCGAGACATCCTCACAAATCTTGCTACTTGGGCTACTTGGGTCAACCCTCTACTTGCGCTATTTGGGCCGCTCGAGACATCCTCACAGCTCTGCCGCCGCCGCTCGAGACATCCTCACAACTTTGGCTACTTGGGCTACTTGGGCCACTTCTCTACGTGGGCTACTTGGTCCGCTCGAGACATCCTCACAACTCTGGCGCCGCCGCTAGAGACCTCCTCACAATTCTGGCTACTTGGGCTACTCGGGGTCCTGAAAGTGGGTTGACCCGAGTAGCCCAAGTAGTCCAAGTAGCCCAAGTAGAGGGTTTGACCCAAGCAGCCCAAGTGGCCCAAGTAGGCCAAGCAGCCCAAGGATTTGACCCAAGTAGCCCAAGTAGCTCGAGATATCCTCACAACTCTGGCGCCGCCGCTTGAGATATCCTCACAATTTTGGCTACTTGGGCTACTTGGGCTACTTGGGTCAATCCTCTACTTGGGCTACTTGGGCCGCTCGAGACATCCTCACAACTCTGGCGCCGCCGCTCGAGACATCCTCAACACTCTGGCTACTCGGGTTACTTGGTGTCCTGAAAGTCCTGAAAGTAGGTTGACCCAAGTAGCCCAAGTAGCCCAAGTAGAGGTCTTGACCCAAGTAGCCCAAATAGCCCAAATAGCCTAGGTAGCCCGAGTAGCCCAAGGGTTTGACCCAAATAGCCCAAGTAGCTCGAGACATCCTCACAACTCTGGCGCCGCCGCTCGAGACATTCTCACAACTTTGGCACCGCCGCCTGAGACAAAACTTTGGATACTTGGGCTACTTGGGCTACTTGGGACAACCCTCTACTTGGGCTACTCGGGCCACTCGAGACATTCTCACAACTCATACGCCGCCGCTCGAGACATCCTCACAGCTTTTGCTACCTGGGCTACTTGGGCTACTTGGGTCAACCCTCTACTTGGGCTACTTGGGCCGCTCGAGACATCCTCGAAACTCGTACGCCGCTGCTCGAGACATCCTCACAACTTTGGCTACATGGGCTACTTGGGCTACTCGAGTCTGCCCTCTACTTGGGTTACTTGGGTCGCTCGAGACATCCTCACAACTCTGGCGCCGCCGCTCGAGACATCCTCACAACTTTCGCTACTTGGGCTACTCGGGCGACGTGGGTCAATCCTCTACTTGGGCTGCTGGGGCTGCCCGAGACATCCTCACAACTCGTGCGCCGCCGCTCGGGACATCATCACAGCTTTTGGCTACTCGGGCTACTTGGGCTAGTAGGGTCAACCCTCTACTTGGGCTACGTGGGCCGCTCGAGACATCCTCACAACTCGTACGCCGCCACTCGAGACATCCTCGCAACTTTGGCTACTTGGGGCAACGCTTTACTTGGGCCAGAAAAAAATCAGCGGGGGCCTCGGGGTGACTTTTTCTTCTGGCGTTTTCCGCCTTGTCTGATTCGGCTTGATTCCGCTACCGTGTTGACCCGAAGCGGCGTCTCGCTCGGTGCGCTGGAGTGCCACCTCGGCCACGCATCATAATGTAATGTCCCGCTTGACCTGACTCGACCTGCCTCTCGCCGCTCGGGGCATCCTCACAACTCGGACACCGCCGCTCGAGGCATCCTCACAACTTGGGCGCCTGCGATGGAGGCATCCTCACAACTCGGGCATCGCCGCTAAAACCCTCTACTGAGGCTACTTGCGCCGCTCGAGACATCTTCACAACTCTGGCGCCGCCGCTCGAGACATCCTCACAACTTTGGCTACTTGGGCTACTTGGGCCAACCCTCTACTTGGGCTATTCGGGCCACTCGAGACATCCTCACAACTCTGGCGCCGCCGCTCGGGACATCATCACAGCCTCTGGCTACTCGGGCTACTCGGGCTACTCGGGCTACTCGGGCTACTCGGGCTACTTGGGCTACTTGGGCTACTTGGGTCAAACGAGTTAGAGACACTCCTCGCGGACGCACTGCAATATGAGACGATCTGGCGATCGAAGAGCCGCCGATCGTTCGAGGTTCAACGGTCCACGCGTTGTCCTGAAACCAGCGCCCGGGTCGCCACACGAACCTGCCGTAGCCATTGCAGCTGAAGCCACCTGGGCTCTCTTTGAGACAGGAGCGGCGCAGGTGGCCGAGCCCGAGGCTGGCATGAGAGGCGCGGCTGTGACGTGCGGCTCGACCGCAAACGGTCAGGCAGGTACCGGTGCAGTCGAGGTAGTTCGGCAGCAAGTCATGGTAGCCTGGCATACCCTCGTCATTCCATTTTTAGCGTCGATCAGCGTCGACTAGCGTCTGGGAGTCGATGAGATAGCGCCCGTTTAGCGTGGATTAGCGTGGATTAGAGTCGATTCGCGTCGATTTAGCGTAGATTTGCGTCGATTCGCAAGAGCCGACAAGATGGTATGGGAGACTCCCATGAGTTGCCACCGAAAGGTAAGTGGCAGCTTGTGGGAGAGCAGCAGTGCAGGCTCTGAGGGGAGGAAAGAGTGCCGATGCCGTTGCCTCCCCTCGTTTTCGCCCTCCTGGTCTCCTGGGGGGCCCTCGCCGCCACGGCCGGATTCGCCTCGAAGTTCTGATCAGAACGCTCCCCAAGAGAGAGAGGTCCAGAAAGTAGCAGTACACCTTAGGCGATGCTTAAGAAAACCCAAGTTTTCGGCCAGAGTCTCGATTATTCTTAACGTTTCAATGTAAATCCTAAGATTCGAATGGAAATTTTGGGTTTTAATTCAAGTTCTGAGACTATGAATTTCTTAACCCATGATGTCTTAAGCATTTCGCAGGGTGTAGAGGTATCTTTCCTTTCCCCAGGCTCGGCTGCCGATCGCGGGACCAGGGCTGCGGCGACGCGAGGTGCCATCCGCGCGAAGGCGCCCTCGAGCCGCGAGAAGCTGGCGTGGAAGGCCACGTTCATCGACCTGCGCGACGACGAGCGCCAGGGCTCACTCAGTCCTCGTCCTTCCAGCGAGCCCTGCAGCGAGTCTTCTTCTAGATGCAGCTCGTACTTCGACGCCGATCGCAGATGCACTGCTATGCTGTGGGAGCACATGGAAGAAGCTTGGGCCTCGAACTGCCGGAAGACGATGAAAAAGAAGCTCCTGTCCGCAGATCCGCAGGGCGAATTCAAGGACAAGACCGATGAAGAAGGAGTCCACGGTCGCGCAGTGTTGCACGACGGCGACGCGTGCAGCAGCTGTGCTCTGGCGTCCACAAGCACGGATGTGATGAGTAGCGGCATTTCGGAGATTTGCGCGAAAGCGCCTTGGAGGCAGAACCGCGCCGGGAGCGTTCCGAGATCAGAGGGCCGCAAAAAATTGTCGTGGAAGGCCACGTTCATCGATTTGTCCGACGACGAGCTCCAGGGCTCCATCAGTCCTCGGCCTTCTAGCGAGCCCTGCAGCGAGTCTTCTTCTAGCTGTAGCGCGTTCTTCCAAGCCGAGAAGAGAAACACCGCTATGCTTGCGAAGCACATGGAAGAGGCATGGGCATCGAACAGCCGGGAGACGATGAGGACCAGCCTCGAAAAGCGGCGCCTGTCGGCCGCTGCGGAGGCCATTGACAACATCCCTGAGCAGCTGAGCAGCGTGGTGCTCAACAAGGCCAAGAGCCTCGCTGAGAGCGTGAAGACCGACCTGTTCTTGGTGCAGAAGGCCATTCGCTGCAGTGGTGGGGATGAAGATGTAGTCGACGTGGCCATCGATCAGCTGGGCCAAATCCCAGGGATCATCAGGAGCTCGTTTGACTCGAAGATCATGGAGGCGAACGGCGCGATACGGCTGAAGCTGAGCGCCATCATGCAGAGGGTCAAGAGGAAGAATTCGGAGAGCGACGAAATGGTGACGGAGCTGTGGACCATTCCTGAGGAGCTGGAGCAGATCACCGGGCAGGCGGTTGACGAGGCCGTGCAAGAGTCCAAGCGGGCGGCGACAAGGCATTGCGACCGCGTGATGAGGAGCCTGCCGGAGGACGCGGGGGTGAGCCGCCAGGCTCTGAGAGACGCCAAGCTGCACATCGCGGAGGCCGTGCCCGAGATGTTCACCGAGACGATGCGGGCCCTGAGGCGCACGACCAATGCGAACGTGAAGCACGCCGTGGCCCACGTGGACGACCCCAGCGATATGCCGGTCTCGAACTGCTTGATCGCCGACGTGCTTCTGAGGGCCAAGGCGGGCATCGAGGAGCCCGGCCCGCACGCGGGCCTGGGAGCCTCGGTCGCCCCCGCCAGCCTCAGCCCCAGCGCAGGGGGCGGCTGTCACCGCAACGCCGGGAGCCTGGGCCACCCCGAGATGTGCGTCCGGCCTTGCCTGTACTTCTTGCGGGGCCAGTGCACGAACAGCGACGCGTGCAGGTCGTCGTCGTCGTCTTCGTCTTCGGCGTCGTCGTCGTCGTCGTCGCTGTCGCCGTCGTCGCCGTCGCCGTCGTCGTCGCCGTTGTCGCCGTCGTCGTCGTCGTCGCAGTCGTCGTCGTCGTCGTCGTCGTCGTCGTCGTCGTCGTCGTCGTCGCGTTCGTCGCCGTCGTCATCGTCGTCGTCGTCGTCGTCGTCGTCCTCGTCAACCGCGTACCAGACCGGCTCGATGCACGCCGCCGCGCGAGCCAGCACGCGCGGAAGCGTGCGTCGCGCAGGTCCTGTTCGCGGCTGGCGTCGTCGAAGGTTCTGCCCTTACCAGCACCCTCCTCCTCGTCCTCCTTCTCCTTGTCCTCCTCCTCCTCCTGTTCACGGCTGGCGTCGTCGAAGGTTCTGCCACTACCAGCACCCGATCCGGCCCGTGCACCTTGGGAGGCCGCACAGGAAGACGCTGGAAGCGGCGACGGCGGCCGAGTGCATCGGCAGCGCGCTTCCCATCCTCGAGAGGAAGCTTGTCACGCTGAACCTGTCCACGGACGCGCTCCAGGAGTACTCCAGCCAGCAGCGCTCTGGGCCCGACGGGGCCGCTGTCGTCGCGGGTAGTCGGGTCAAGCCTCGGGAGCTGCGGACTCTGGAGAGGGCTTTCAATGCCCTGTCCATGAGGTCGCTGCTGGTGGTGCTGCAGAGAAAGGTGGGGGATCAGGCCTCGCGCGAGAAGGCTCTGGTGGACGAGCTGCTTCTGGAGCTGCGCGGCCGGGGCTTCCTCGTCAACGCCGGGTCTGGGCCGTGGAGGGCCTCCTCGCCCTCCTCATCATCGTCGTGATGCTCCTGCTCCTCCAGTAGCCACTGGTGAGAGTCCCGGCATGCGCGGAACCCAGTGTAGCCCAGATGCACACTGCCAATCCTGAGACCCAGAATTCTTGGGGCATTGGCGGCGGCGAGAGCAGTGCTGAGTGTGGGCCTGGGCGCGCTGGAGTGACGGAGGTGGGCCCCAGCAGCGAGGAGTCGCAGCCCCCGATCCCGAGTGGTAGTGCAAGGTCTGGCCGTGAGTGCGTGTGCGCGGCAACATCGAATTCGTGTTGGGTCATGTTTCAATGTATCTTTGGTCGACAGCCCTGTGCAGGGCGGAGCTTTCCACGTGGACCTAGCCTCAGACAGGCTCAGACGCGTGGCCGCTGGGGCGGTCGGCGGATCGACAGATGAGCCCATATGCTTTGCTGTGGGGGCCTGGTAGGGCCGCCCGAATTGATCTCCGTTTCTGGTATCGGCGTGTGGTTTATTGACTGCCGGCCTGCTTCGGGCCAGGAGGATTATGCTTCTTGCCCTCGATTTCCTCGCTCTCGGCTGAGAAGGGCCGCTGCTGTAGAATCGCTGGCCAAGCAAGCTGTCGTTGGTGTCGGTGCCCTGGCAGCAAGTTCGGCTGAAAGAGCCGCTGACCAAGGTAATGTCAGCTTATTGTGATTAGCAAATTGCTGCCCCCCCCGCCCCCCTCCCCCCAGGGCTGATGAATAAACCTCGTTGGGCGCGAAACATTTTTTTAATCACGCGCGCCAGGGGGTCGTCGCTGGGGCCTCCGAGGGCATCGTGTACCCCCTTGCATGACAGCCTCAAAACGATTGCCTGTCGTATCGAAGTTGTTATAGGTGTCGTACACATCCGAGGCGAATCTGTTTCCCACTCTCAGGCGTCGTCGTCGTCGCCGTCGCCGTCGTCGTCGTCGTCTTCTTCGTCGTCCTTGTCATCGTCGTCGTCGTCGTCGTCGTCGCCGTCGTTGTCGTTGCCGTCGTCGTCGTCGTCGTCGCAGTCGTCATCGTCGTCGTCGTCGTCGTCGTTGTCGTTGTCGTCGTTGTCGTCTTCGTCTTCAGCGTCGTCGTCGTCGTCGTCGGATACAGCGGGCCTGCGCAGCCCCCCGTAGGACATCCGCAGTGCGTCGTCGTCGTCGTCGTCGTCGTCGTCGTCGTCGTCGTCGTCGTCGTCGTGTTCGTCGTCGTCTTCGTCGTCGTCGTCGAGTACAGCGGGCCCGCGCAGCACCCTTCCCTCTCATAGGACATCCGCATTGCGTCGTCGTCGTCGTCGTCGCCGCCGCCGTCGCTGTCTGCCGTCCGCCGTCCATCGTCCTCGTCCTCGTCCTCGTCTTCGTCCTCATCCTCGTCCTCGTCGTCGTCCTTGTCGCCGTCGTCGTCGTCGTCGTCGTCGTCGTCGTCGTCGTCGTCGTCGTCGTCGTCGTCGTTCACGATTACAGAATCCACGACACACGGGGGCAGGAAGACTGCCAGACTTGCTCGGGTCGGGCGAAAGGCTGGGGAAGGAAAGCGGGAGTTGCGAAACCTGCTGCGCGCAGCCGGTTTCGGTCGCCCCGCCGAGGGGCCAGTCCTCGATGCATAGCCGCTTTCGACGCCACGGGGCGTTCGGAAAATCAGCAATGTGAGCTGCTGGGCAAATCCCCGCTTGGCCACGCCCCCCTTCCGTCCAGCCCGCCTTGCTCGCGGGCCCGCGCGGCAGATGGCGCCCCCCTGACTGTGGCCAGGGCAAAGGAAACGCATCGGTTCGACAGAAAAAACAACGGAATATGTGGGGCGAGCGCCGACAGCAGTTCTTCATTTCGAACAGGTGTTGCCCTGGGTCACGGCCCCTGCTTCTGCTGCCTGTGCCTCCCGCCCCCCTCCCCTCCCCCAGTTTGTGCTGTCTGTCGCCTTCCCGCTGGCGGCTGGGCGTCGGCGCTAATAACCGGCGCCGCCGCCGTTGACATTATATCTGGCGGGCGCCACCTCGCGATTCGCCCGAGCAAGGGGACGATTTTTTTAAAGCGCGCGCCCCCCACGGATTTGTGAATCACAATCTGACGTTAATTCATGGTGTTTTAGCTCCAGCGCCGCCAGTGGCATTTCGGTCGAAATAGGCCGCGCTTTTTGATGTTTGAGCGTTCAAATTCTTAACGCTTCGCGTGTCCCCACAAGCCCATCCAGCAACGAGACCCCAAGGTGAACCGGCTTGATCAGGAACGTGGGGGAGCACGTGGTGGAACGAAGAGCTGAGGAAACCGTCGATCCGAAGTTGGGGTCACCTCGAATAGACCCAGGATGTGCTTTCGCGGACCTGTCGAACGAGGAAGGGCGGAGGAAACAAATGAGGAACGGGTGGAGGACGAGGAGGAGGAAAAAAAGGAGGCGTAGGACCAGGAGGGGGGGGCAAAAGAAAAAAACAAAAAAAGAGATGAAGGAGCGGGATGAGGAGGAGAGCGAGCGGAAGGAGGATGAACCTGATTGAGCACGTTGTCACCCAACTCCAGCTTAAGCCTGTTTGGGAGGAGGCGGAGGAGGAGGAGGAGGAGGAGGAGGAGGAGGAGGAGGAGGAGGAGGAGGAGGAGGAGGAGGAGGAGGAGGAGGAGGAGGAGGAGGAGGAGGAGGAGGAGGAGGAGGAGGAGGAGGGGAGGAGGAGGAGGAGGACCAGGAGGAGGAGGAGGAGGAGGAGGAGGACGAGGAGGAGGAGGAGGAGGTGGGGGAGGAGGGGGAGGAGGAGGTGGAGGATGAGGAATAGGAGGGGAAGGAGATGTAGAAGGAGGGGGATAATGGGGAGGAGGAGGAGGAGGACGACGACGATGAATACGAGTAGTAGAGAGAGGAATATGATCATGAAACAAAACACAATACTGACAATCATCTTAGTAACAATCGTAAGAAGGAACATAATGATCAGTATCTAAAATATTAATAATCATACAAATGCGGAAGCTACTAATGATAATACGAAGAAATAAGACAAACACGAATACTTAACCTAATACGAATAAGCAGGCGAATGAAACTCATATTCCCAATGGCGACATTTTGAATGACAGTAGTGACACGAATAGTATTCAGACGAACAGTAATATGAATCATAACGTTAGTAGGCGTAGTCGTACTAGTATGAGTAAGAGGAGTAGTTATCGTAAACATAAGAACAGTGATACGAATAGTACGAATACTATTCGTACTGGTACGAGTACTAAGAACAATACTATCAATAACACCAATAGTACTTAGACTCTTACTAACAATATTGATAATAGTAATAACAAGGATCATCGTACTAGTAATGATAGTAAAGGTAAGTGTATTAATAATAATAATAATAATAGTAGTATTAATATTCATAATAACCATCACACGAATAATGATACAAAGACAACTCATGATATTAATATTATTCGGAAGAATAATTATAATATGGGGGAGGAGGAGGACGAGGACGAGGACGAGGAGGAGGATACCCACCAACAGCCGAGACATTGAGGCGTATAAGTGGCAGTGCGCCGACAGGCCACGATAACCTGAGCTCTCTTCGTCCCTGACTTCGTATATTCTTATTTAATCGCTTCGCTCATTCCGCCGGCCCTCGAGCGCTCTATGGGGCCTCTTTGAAGCCTCTTAGGGGGCCTCTTTGGGGCAACCTAGGGGCCTCTTGGGGGCCTCTTGGGGGTCTCTTGGGGCTCCTCGGCGGCGTCTTGGGCTCCCCTTGGGCCTCCTGTAGTCGATTGCAGCCATCCCCTCGGAGGCCACGATCCTCGTGAGGGGTGGCGAAAAATAGCCTCCCCCCTGGGGATCGCCCGGGGTCAGCCGGGGATCGGCCGGGGTACTTTTCGTCCGGGGACCACCAGGGGCAGCCCCGCGCGCGCGAACTAGAAATATTGTTAGTAGTTACCGGAGATCTTAGCACGCCTTGCCGGGCCTTGCGAGCAGATTCGAGGCGATCAGAGGGGTCATCGGAGAGGCACAAGAGAGACTCAAGATAACACAAGAGCGCTCCAAGAGGAACCTCGGCCCCCAATACGCCCCAAGAGGCCGTTAAGAGATCCCCGAAGAAGCAAACATCGTCCCATTCCTTTAGGGAAAAGTATATTTTTAGCATGTCCGCTTTTTGGGGCTTCGCAGCGTTCAAGACGGCCCGATGGGCCCCCGATATCGCCCCAAGACGGCCAAAGAGGCCCCCCAGACCCAAGAGGGCTCCAAGACTGCCCCCGAGAGCCCCGAGACTGCCCACAAGAAGCCCGAAATGCTCCCAGAAGGCTCCCGAGAGAGACCCACGAACCAAGAGAACCCTAGATGGCTGCAGAAAACCTCTGGAGGGCCCCAGCTCCCCAAGTCGGTCCAAGAAGGCCCAAGGACGGCCCAAGAGGGGGCCCAAAAGAGCCCCCGAAACGCCCAGATGGCGCTCTCCTACGAAGTACATCGAGCTGAGCCGACGATTTTGGTTCCACGCTTGAGGATCGAGGTTATCGAGAGAGACAGGCAATGAATCTATATTCGAAGTTCGACGATGGAAGTTTCTCTGAGTGCTGGGAGCGCTCCAGGCAATCAGGAAGCGACCAAACATCGATTTGTTCTGAGCTACTGCTACTTCGTTGGCGTGTCATGGGAACGCTCCTGGCTTCCCTAAAGGATGAACTCAACCACCAGAGAGGAGGAAGGGATGTGTGGGGATAAACCTCGGAGAGGGCAGATGAAAAGCCAGACGAAACTTTTCTCACTACCTCCTCCCATGAGGACCTGTGCTGAAACAAACGATGATTTATTGTTTTGCCGGGGAAGTGTCTGGAACGAGGCGCATGGAGCGAAGTGCCAATGCAGTCTTGCATGCATACATATATATACACATATAGGTATGTATATTTGCATATATCTACAGATATGAGACGCCCTTTGCAGTCCGTTCCGTCTACCTCCTGTACGATCCCTCTCAGGTTCGCCAGAACCATGGCACCCGGGGGCTGCCCGAACACATCCGATCCCAGGAAATCGCAACGTTAGGGCCCACAGCTGCCCGACAAGGAGCGCGCCGAAGGCGCCGGCTCTCCATGTAGGCAGCGCTCAGGCACCTGCAATAGCGTAGGCGTGTAGCGCTTGCCCAGGTGGACATTCCGACCTCCGCCATGAGGCACGAGGCGTCCATCTTCGTCCCGGCCGTGCTACCCAGCTCCTGGGCCACCGACGCCGGCGATGCCTACGGCGACGACGAGGTTTTCCGTCTGTCTCCCTACACCCCGACGTGTGCCTACAGTCGGACTCGATTGGACAGTGACACGCGAGAGGACACAAGACCCTTCCGAGGGCCACATTGCCGCAAGAATGTAGGAAGCACGGGTCGCAAGACACAGCACACAAGGGTATCCTTGATCTGGCAGGGTCGACCTACTACTCCGGGCCGCCTGTATTACCCACCCCCCCACAACCCTCGCCCCATGGTCCCCACGACGGCCCCCCCCCCCCCCAGCCACGCCCCTAGTGGCCGCATGCCCTGCGTGCGAACCCGTGAGCCCGTGGGGGGCATACCTGGGGAACCGGCCATGGGAGCCGCTGGCCAGGCCAAAGCTGGGGCCGCCAGCCCCGCGGCGGGCTCGGCATCCCGAGTGGCCGCATGCCTTGACAGGGAGCCCGCGGGGGGCATACCTGGGGAAGCGGCCATAGGGACAGCCGAAGACAAACCCCAGAGCCCCCCTCGACAACCCCCGCGCCTGCCCCCCTCCCCACGACGACCCCCGCGACAACCCCCGCGACGGCCCCTACGACGACCCCCGGGACGGCCGCCGCGACCACCGCGACGGCCGCGAGTGGCAGGGGGCATGCCCGGGGAAGCGGCCACAAGGACAGCCGAAGCCCCCCCCCGGGACCCCCCCCCCGACAACCCCCGCGCCGGCCCCCCTCCCTACGACGACCCCCGCGACAACCCTCGCGAACCTCGACGTCCCCCGCGACGGCCGCCACGACCACCGCGACGGCTGCGCCCCGAGTGGCCGCATGCCTTGTGAGGGAACCCGCGGGGGCATGCCCGGGGAAGGCGGCCAGCCAGCCCGCAGCCCGCGCCGCAGGCCCCTCGGCAGGATCCCGGGTGGCCGCCTGCCATGAGAGGGAGCCCGCAGGGGGCATGCCCGGGGAAGCGGCACGACGACCCACGCGACAACGCCCCAGACGGTCCCCACGACGACCCCCACGACGGCCGCCACGACCGCCGCGACGGCCGCGCCCCAGGTGGTCGCCACGACCTTGCGAAGGAGCCTGGGGGTGCATATCTGGGGAAGCGGCCATAGGGGCTGGCGCAGACTGCCCCTCGGCGGGCTCCAAGTCCCGAGTGGCCGCATGTCCTGAGAGGCCTGCGACGGGGCGCGGCTGTGCGGGCAGCGCTTCCCTCGCGGGGTGCTGGACGGACGACGCAACGACCGAACCGACGGCCCCCTGCCCCGCGACCCCGCGACGGCCCCCCACGACGCCCTCAACGACGGCTTCTGGGCGACGACCTCAGCGACGGCGACCCCAGCGACAAACCCCTGCGCCGACCCCCGCGCCGGCGACGGCCGAGGCGGGCGCGAAGATGGCCGCGGCTACCGCGACAGCCCCCGCACCTGCTCCCACGACGGCCCCCGCGACGGCCTCATTCACAGCCCGCGCGACAGCCTCGCGGACTCCCCTCGCGAGCACGATTGCGAAAACAGCGCTGTCTCGTCAGGCGAGGCCCGCCCCGAGTAGGAGGAGGACAATTCGCGCAAGACCGCGAACGGCACATACTCGTCACAGGCCTCGGACGCCGCATCGACAACCAGGCACTGCGCGCCACCTTCAGCCTCTTCAGCAAGATCTGAAACTGCTGGGTCGCTTCCGACGAGCACGGCTACCCGCGGGGCTACGGCTACGTCCACTTCGAGACCGAGGAGGCCGCCCAGAAAGCTAGCAGCCGCACGCAGGGTACACCTTGCGACAAGGGCAGGCTCTGGGCCAAGGCCGTCTCCATCCACGACTCGGAGATCGACCGGCCTGAGCAGCGCGACCCTTCGCAAGACTGGGCCCGTCCCGCCCGCCCCACGGTCCCCCCGAAGGCCGCCGCGACCCCTCTGCCCCGACCGACGGCCTCCCGCGCCTCCCACCCGACAGCCCTCGTGACGAACGAGGTGGTGAGCCGCCGCTTTTGTAAATCAATGGCCAGAGGCATGGGGGCCGTGAGCCACCTCGCCCTACCTGCCCCCCCCTTCAAGTCACCCACGCGCAGCCCGCACTTCGCCAGCGCCGTCACCCTCAACCCCCGCTCCCTCTTCATCCATCTCTCCTCGGGCCTGGCAGCGCGGCTCACGACGCCAACGTCGAGAGAGTGGCCGCCAGACTTAGACTGCGCGGCTTGCCTGGCAGCCCCTTCCGACCGTGACCCTCGCTCCTTCTCCTCTCGCGCGGAGGGCCCGAGTTGCAGCCACGTGTGTCCGTCATCGCGTATGCATATTCGGCCACATTTTCTCCTTCGCCGATGTGGCACCGATGACCCAGACATAATCAGGCCACCGCATATGCTGCAACATATAGCCGCAGAAACACATAATTAAGTAGCACCCGAGCCGTAGCGTGTTCAGCGGTAGTCTTTGGATGGACAGCTAATGGGAACCCAAACGGGCCTCGTGTGCACAACGCTGGGGCGAGGTGCGCCAGGCGCGCCACGCGCGCCAGGTGCGCCAGGCACCCCTGTGGCCCAAGCGTGCGGGGCACGCCTGGTGCGCCAGATGCGCCACGTGATCCACGTGCGCCACGTGTGCCGCTTGTTCCAGCCGCGACAGGTGCACCAGGTTCGGCGCACGCGCAGAGTGTGCTGGGTGCGCTGGCGCACTTTGCAGTACACGTCGGGAAACGCGTCGGCCCCCACCACCCTTGTCGAAAACCAGTGCGCAATCGCGGCGGGGTGGCCAGCATAACATCATGGCTAACTGGCAGCACCCCCGCCGTCCCAGTCAAAAACCAATGCGCAGTGATCGTGGGCGCCCGCGCATGATCCAGGTTTTGTCCCGAAGTGCACTGCGTATTGCGCAGCAGCAGGCAATATGCAGGCAATCCCGCCGGCCGTGTCAACAAACTATATTAAGTGCTCGCGGCCCTCCCGATCATTACCCAAGATTTTGCCCCAATATGGATTTCACATTCTTTTTTGACAGGGATGGTGTGGGAGGGTGCCCTCATTGGTCCTGGTTGGCTGCTGGTCGCCTGGGGGAGCTAGTGCTTATTAAGAAGGAACAGAGGTAACCCCTTCCCGGAGGAAAAGAAGGGGTTGGCAGGGATACGCTCTCAACCACTCACGCCGTCATGGGCTGGTGGGATTGGATTGGCTTGTCCCACTGGGCAGTTGGCTATCCTCTCCGCGATGGCGCAGTTTTTCGTGCATGCGTTTTCAGGAGAGCAGGATGCATATTAGCTCCCGATCGGGGTTGGCCAAGAGTGACCAGCATCTCTCTCTCTCTCTCTTCCCTTTTGTGTCGGTCTGTCTATATCTGTCTGCCTGTCTGTGTCTGTCTGTCTGGCTGGCTGGCTGGCTGCCTGCCTGTCTGTCTGTCTGTCTGGCTGTCAGTCAGTCAGTCAGTCTGTCTGCCAGTCAGTCTTTCTGTCAGTCAGTCTGTCTGTCTGTGTGTCTGTGTGTGTGTGTGTGTGTCTGTCTGTCTGTCTGTCTGTCTGTCTGTCTGTCTGTCTGTCTGCCTGCCTGCCTGCCTGCCTGCCTGCCTGTCTGTCTGTCTGTCTGTCTGTCTGTCTGTCTGTCTGTCTGTCTGTCTGTGTCTGTGTCTGCTTGTCTGTCTGTCTGTCTGTGTTCTTGTCTGTCTGTCTGTCTGTCTCTTTCTCTCCCTCTCTCTCCTTCTCTTTCATGTTCTTTCCACATTTACATTTAAACACGCAGATTTGGTGCTGCTCTTTTCATTCTCTTGCTCTGTGCAAGACGCGCAGCACGATCGCCGCAAGCCTTACCAGTCGACTCTTTGAATTGCCTATTCTTGCTGTCGTGTAGGCTTTGAGATGCGTGTCAATTCAGATCAGCTTACACACTGCGATGCAACTGAAACAAGTGCTTTCCTCGAGAAGGCTCCCCGCGACAGGGGCGAGACCGTCTTCTGTGGCTGATCGTGCCGATGCATGCTGCCAGCCATTCACGTAGGTGTTTTCGCAATGTTTGCTTGAATGTACAGTCACGCGCAGAATCTTAGGACTGCTTAGCTGCTGCTCCTCGTCCCATGCCCTTCAATTCCTCCTTACAACATACAAATGGATGCCCTCTAAGGTCTTCTCTGAAGCTGCAGTCCTGCCGATTCACCAGGATGCTGACTGGTGTTTTCCACAGAATCTGCCACAGTAGTCAGTCTTTGTGTATGTGGACGCACGCGGTCAGCTTCCACCCGGCTCCGTTTGAACGCGGTCGCTCGTGCACGCGTGATCGCGGAGGGAGTACAGGTTCATGTGGTTGGGCGTGCTCGTGGATGTCCTGCAAAACCCCCCAGGGCTGCTCTTCCGTTCTGTCGCTCAAGGCCCCGGCAGATCTCTGCAGCGCGTCCGCCTTCTCTTTCTCGAAGGAGGAAAATCGGTATAGACATACATTTTCGGAGTTCCGCGCGTTCTTGTTGGATCTGCGCCAGACCCCTCTGTCTGTGCCAGACCCCTTCGGCGGCATCTCTGGCGCCTCCCCTGGCGCGCTCCGGGGCCAAGCGCCGATCCAAGAAATCCGCGCCCAAACAGCGACGCTTCTGTATTCATCCCAACCATCCCGTGGTTTTTGGGTCCGCCTTTGAAGGGACAGCACCCCGCTTTCCTCGTTCTCCTCCCCCTCCTCCCTCCTCCCATCCTTGCATCTGCCCTCCGCATGTCATCCATTTCGGCACACCCCTCACGAGGATGTGGCCCCGGAGGGAGCTCCGCCGAAGGCCCCAGTGGCAGTGTTCGCATGGTGGCCTCGGGCCATCTCGGCACACCCTTACGAGGATCGTGGCTCCATTGGGAGCTCCATCGAAGGCCCGAGCGGCAGGGTTCGCATGGTGGCCTCGGGCCATCTCGGCACACCCCTCACGAGCTTCGTGGCCCCACAGGGAGCTCCACCGAAGGCCCCAGTGGCAGGGTTCGCATGGCGGGCCACCTCGACACACCCCTCACGAGGATCGTGGCCACACAGGGAGCTCCACCGAAGGCCCCAGTGGCAGGGTTCGCATGGCGGCCTCGGGCCATCTCGGCACCCCCCTCACGAGGATCGTGGCCCCATTGGGAGCTCCACCGAAGGCCCCAGCGGCAGCGTTCGCATGGCGGCCTCGGGCGATTCCGGCACACCCCTCACGACGATCGTGGCCCCATAGGGAGCTTTGAACGAAGGCCCCAGTGGCAGGGTTCCCGTGCCGGTCTCGGGCCATCCTGGCATACCCCTCACGAGCTTCGTGGCCCCCTTTTGGGAGCTCCACCGAAGGCCCCAGTGGCAGGGTTTGTATGGCGGCCTCGGGCGATTTCGGCACACCCCTCACGAGCTTCGTGGCCCCATATGGAGCTCTGAACGAAGGCCCCATGTGGCAGCGCCCGCATGCGTCTCCCGCTCATTTCGGCACACCCCTCGCACGTTTCGGGGCTCCCATCCGCGTTGCCCCGTGCTCCATCCCCCTCGTGGCGCGCTACTTATGATGAGAGGGGCATATCTTGCGATATTCGCGGCTGCGCATGGTTGGGTCCTTCGCCAGGCAACTTTTAGATCTTGGTGCCGGGGACTTGCCTAGGGCCCACCTAATGGATCTGTTCGACTCTAGCCCGACTCTAGCTCGACTCAAGTTCGACTCAAGTCGACGGACGTTCGACACGGCATCGACGCATGAGTGGAGCGAGTGGGTCCAGAAAGGTCCCCAGAAGGAGTTCTGCTCGCTGCTCTGTGTGCCAGCAGGGTACAGCGTATCCTAGCATGCGCAACCTGTTGGCAAAGCTGCCCATCCACAACGCCTCTCTTGCTCAGGGAGGCACCATGTTGGCATCCCCCCCCGAGCTTGTCTGTCTCATCACAATCTTCGAAGAACAACAAAGGCATAAACAGAAACTTCTGGCGCTCCGCGCGGACTTCTTGGATCCGCGCTGGGCCCTCGTTTGCGCAGTCTTTCTTATTCGTGGGGTACGGCCTAAGTCCAACGACAACAGCGACGTCGACGGCTCTCTTGTCCTGGAACCACGGATCTTCCTGGTGGACGCCTTCCGCATCGGGACGCAGGACCAGCGAGCGCCGGACCTGTGGCCGTGCGGGCTGCGGGTGTAAGAAGAGCTGCGATGTCTGGGGCCGCTGCAGGCATTCCAAGCCCTCGCTTACGGCTTACGGCCACACTTACTGAACTTCATGAGGACCGCCTGCTACAGTACCGCCCACGGAGCTAGACTACGACGTTGACGATCTCAAGCACCTGGTCTCCATGACTGGGAAGTGCAAGGAACCAAGCAGGATGGCTGCTCAATACACGATCGCGCTGCGGAGGAAGCTCGAGGCGTCCCGCGAGCCCCGTGCCAAGCCTCTGCAGCGTCAGGACGCGCAGCGCCGAATTCACTTGTTGGATAAGCGTCTGCGCAAAGAGTTGGATATAAGCTGGCCAAGACAAGGCAGTCAAGCAGTGGATGCAGGAGAAGACGGAACCAGCCGCATCGCCCACCAGTGACCTCGAGGCGGCAGATCAGAAGTAAAAGAAGTTGGCCGACCAACTCCACTCCTCGGTGTGCGCTGCTGGCGCAATCTCTTTGGTCGGTCAGGCTCCAACTCCTCCAGACAAGCCTCGCATCAACATTCGTGACGTGCTCGATGGCAAGCTCGACGGGACTTTCTTTTGCGAGGGTCAGGACTAGCTGCAGGGCCTCAACGAGGAACCCAGACGACCTGGAGGCTTTGCAGAAGCGCAAGACCTTGGCATGACTCTCGTCGGTTAGGTGGTCACTAAGATCGACGCCATCAAAGGTGCGCACAACTCGCACACAGACTGATTTACTAAGAAGCAGCGTGACGGGGTGATAGCGAGGCGATTTCAATCGACGGCGAGCCCGACTTCGCCGAGTGGTCAGAGTTGCCAGGTTCTGGCGCTGCGGTGGCAGCTACGCCTGGATCGTCTTCTGGCTCGGATGGACAGACGTCTGGGCCCCCCTGCTGGGACTGCTGCTCCCGAGGGTATCCGCACCCATGCAAGGGCATCTCTGGGGGTTAGACTGAAATCGGGCCTGTCCCTCTACAGGGGCAATATTCAAACGTAGTCACAAAATAGTGTGGGGACGATTTTTCGACTATTTTTGACGATTTTCGAATGTTTTTTGACTATCCCCCTCCTCCCCCTCCTTGGAGTAGATCTTGGCTGTTTTGGGCGCCTGTTGCGAGCAGGTGGAGTCTCCCCCATACTGGACGCACTGTCCCAAGCAGCCGCACTAAGCAGAGGTCTGGAACCAGACCCCCCCATCTCCCCCCCCTTCCGCCCAACGTCGAAACGCCGAATTCAAAACGTTGACTATCCGAATCTTGCAGATTCGAAAGCACCTTTCGAGGGCATCTCCATCGCTCTCAACCTCCCCGCAGGGCTTGAGTATCTTGGGCTGCAGGTGGAAACAGTCAACGTCCCTGGGTGGGGTCCTGCCAAGTCTTAGATTCAGCGCACCGCTTAGCTGTCCATCGGATTTCAGGAACACCATCCTACTTCCTCATCGGCGATCGATAAGGCCACCGCTTGGGCGAAGCGACAAGGTTGGCTCGCTCGTTTAGGGTTGGCCTCCACGGGTCCCAACACAGGGCCCTCAAGTGGGGTCGGAGTTTCGACGCGGGATTTTCTGTGCATGTACGATAATTTCGAGGAGGAGGCGTGTGCCCGTGTTATGGCTCCGCTGCGTGTCCTCTGTTTTTTCCTCTCTGTCGCCACCGCTTGAGGCCGTCAGCTCTGCCGCCCGAAGAATGACCCGCTGGGCATCTTGCCGGTGGGAAAGCACCGGCCCCGCGCGCACGCCGCACGCCAGGTGACGGACCGCTTCGTGCGCGCGGGCTCCAGGTGCATCGCGCGCATCCGCGCCAGGCGGCGCTGCCACCTGTTACGGGAGGCGGCCCCGCTTTGCAGGGGCCGCCGCTGCCGCCGCCTCGTCGCCGACGCCGCTGACCCGCCGCCGCCGCCCCCGCCGTCGCCCCCGCCGTCGTCGTCGTCGTCGTCGTCGCCGCCGTCGTCGCCGCCGCCGTCGTCGTCGTCGTCGTCGTCGTCGTCGTCGTTGTCGTCGTCGTCGTCGTCGTCGTTGTCGTCGTCGTCCTGGACCTTCTGCGGTTATAGTTTTTCGCCCGCCGTTTTTGTTCCTAGACCCCAGCCTTGGGGGCCGCCTGCGGGCCGAGGGGCCATCGCGACCCTGAGGCCGAGGACCCCAGCCTTGGGGGCCGCCTGAGGGCCGAGGGACGAGACCCTGCCCCAGGGGGAGGGACTGAGGCTCCCCGGGGCCGCGGATTGAAAGAGGCTCACGCCGTCGAAGGTTTGGGGCCGCCGTCGCCGCCGCCGCCATTGTTGTCCTCCTGCTCCCGCCGTGAAGCAGGGAGGTCCTGGAGGCAGGTGGTCCTGGAGATTCTTCGCGGCCTTCGGACTCCCGGGGCCCTTCCCGGGCCGTGCTCGGCGGCGAGCCAGGGGGGGAAATGAGAAGGGGCGGGCCTTCTCAGAAGGCTCGGAAGTCCCCCAGCCTTCTGAGAAGTTCTCTAAGCCTTCCCCGAAGACGAGAAAACATCTCAGAAGGCGCGAGGACTTTTGAGCAGTCCCGCTGCCTTGTGAGAAGGTCTTCTCCTTCCCACTTCCCCCCCGCGCTCGCCGCCGACTTGCAGCCTTGAGTAAACGGCTCAGGATGAAAAACCGTTGCCGAGGAACGCCCCATGGTTCAGGAATCGTTTCTACCAGGACCCTCTTCCCTCGTGTCCATGATCGCTGCCGTCGCTGTCCTCCTCCAACCCGACGCCCATGGCGGAGGTTGGCCTTCAAACCAGACATGTGAGCATACAGCCCTGGCTTTCTGAGGGGCCGTGTCCGCTCCAGCGCCCACGGCTGGCAGAGACGGGGCCAGAATCAGGCGTTGGCGGAAAGGGAGGGGGAGGGGGAGGGGTCTGGCTCCAGACCTCTGCTTAGTGCGACTGTTTGCAAGAGTGCTGCCCTGGGGGAAAGACTCCACCCCGCTCGGAGCAGGCGCCAAAAAACGGCCAACATCTACTCCATTGGGGGGGGAGGGGGGGTGGGGGGCCCGCGCCGATCGGCAAAACAATGAATACAGAAACGATCACTTTCTTTTGCCGATCGGCGCGGGCCCCCCACCCCCCCCTCCACCCCCAATGGAGTAGATCCTGGCTGTTTTTTGGCGCCTGCTCCGAGCGGGGTGGAGTCTTTCCCCCAGAGGCATCACTCTTGCAAACAGTCGCACTAAGCAGAGGTCTGGAGGCAAAACCCTCCCCCTCCCCCCTTTCCGCCCAATGTCGAAACGCCGAACAAAAAAACGCTTATCACCTTCTCCCGTCTTCCGAGGCGAGCCATCGAACGCCACACCCTGTCCATTCATAGTCATCTCGGTAGAGCCACGACTTTTGCTGGACGTGGCGTGCGTCGGGCGGAGGATTCCGAAGTGTCCTGGAGGTTTGGGGGCGGAGAGACCCACGGATACCGCGCGCTGCTTCACCATCTGAGCCCGCGGGCTTTTGCAGACCGGCAGCAGGTCACCGCGCGAAGGTGACATGCGATGGCAAGACGATGCGGGGGCCTCACGTTTGGGGGCGAGTGATGGGTGTTGGCCCCCCCCCCATCCTTCGGTGGCGAGCGAATGGGGGAAGTGAGAAGGGGCGGGCCTTCTCAGAAGGCTCGGAAGTCCCACAGCCTTCTCAGAAGTTTTCTGAGCATTTCCCGAAGACATAGGAAACTTCTCAGAAGGCGCGAGGGCTTCTGAGAAGTCCCGCCGCCTTCTGAGAAGGTGTTCTCCTTCTCACTTCCCCCCTTCGCTCGCCGCCAAAGCTCCCCCCGGCATCAGTGGAAGACTCTCCAAGTTTACCTCGGCAGCGCGGTCTCTACCTTTGCGGAACTAGTGGCCGCTTCTACCTTGATGACTCTTCCGGCGAAAATGCTATCCCGTCGCGCCCACGACGCCATGAACAGCTTGCACTGGGAGGACGACGACGACGGCGTCCGCGAACCCGTCGGCGCATGTAGTGTGCCAGGAGCAGGAGCGCGATTCATAGCCGTTCTCCTCTGGGTGACGGAGGGCCCCCGATCCGATCCTCGCCCGCCTGCCCCCTCTGCTCCCGCTTCTCCGCCGCCCCCTTCGCGGCCCAGCTGCGGGGCCCTGGCTGCACAGACCTCACGCGGGCTGCCCCTGCAGTCTCCGGCACCTCGCAGAGGACCGCGCTGCTCCCTGCAGGAGGGGTTCTCGGGTGCCCTCTGCGCCGTTGGCGAGCTCGGTGGTCCTCAAAGGGGCCCGCGCAGGGGCATCGGAGGCGCCGCGCGAGGACCCGGAGGCCGTCGCCCAAGAAGGCTGTGCGGGACCCTGCCCGGGTGGCATTCGAGAGGGGAGGTTCCTGGAGGAGGGGGCGGTCGGCTTGGCTCGAACTTGTGAGGTGTGGCCCCTCCACTCCCTCGACACGTATGTATTATGAAAACTGCTCTCCTCTCTCCCCTGACCCTGTCAACAGTAGTCGGCCCTATCCGCGCACACTTTCCTACGCCGTGTTTCAACAGTTCTCTTAGGTCTTCGCGCAATCCGATGATTTTTAGTGTTTCAAGATGTTGCCCCCCGCTGCAGCGTAGACCTCATTTTCGGATCGGCGCTGTGCTCCCGTCGTTCAGAATGGCGCTCGCTCCAGCGCGAGCCACTTTTCTGGATCATAGTTTTTTTCCATCGTTGTCGCCCCCTCATTATCCTCCTCCGTCTTCCCTTGGCTCTCCTGCACTTCCCGCTCCTTCCACTCGAGCTCCTGCTGCTGCTGTTGCTGCTGTTCTTCCTCCTCCTTTTCCTCCTGCTCATCTTCCTGCTCATCCGCCACCTCCTCCTCGTCCACTGTACGCAGCTCCCTCACTTTCCGATTGCGCATGACACGATGGGGCCTTCTCTGGAGTTCCAGGTCCGCTATGGCATGCGTCGGCGGACAGAAAACAAGCAGCGCAACGGGAAGGGATGGGTGGGAGGGGTAGGATGCCAGATATGGCGCGAGTGCACCTAGCTTGCCCCGCCTCCACTCTCCCGCCACCCCTTGCCCTTCACCCTGAAAAGAGGAAGTGCGAGAGATCACTCCGTGGCTCTGCCTCGAGCACCACAAGCGACCCCCCGACAATTTGGGTGCCAGGACACCGCGAGCGCCAATCGGACAGGAAGGCACGCAGGCATCGGCGCGCACGAGTACGTTTTCGTTTGTGCGCGTGTGCCCGCGCGCGTGCGCGTGCACCCAGACGAAGCGTATCGGCACACACCGGAGCTTTTTGGCCAAGCAAGTTCGCCGCGAGCGCCTCTCCTATCAGTTTTTCCCTCGATCTCCAAGCCTCACATATTGGATCCGAGTAGATGGGGTCGCAGGATCGCGCCGCATCGCCGCTGCATGGATGATGCGGCTCGATGTGGGGCCGGGGTTGCTCCGCGCTGACGGCGCCGACGCATCGCCGACGTCGCCGATGCAGCGCGATCCTTTTGACCCCGTCTGCTCCGACCCCATCTGGGAGGCCTCCAAGATTAAGTCGGGCCTGTCCCTCGACAGGAGAAATATTCAAAAATTGTTTAAAAATAGTCTGGGCACAATTTTTTGTATTTTTGAACTCCTCTGAAGTATTCTTGGAGTATTTTTCAGTGCTCGTCCAAAATCCCCCTGTAGGGGGACACGCCCGACCTAACTCTAAGATCGTCGCTGGCATGGGATGCCAGCCGAGCGTCGCGGGTGCGCGCGAGGAGGCGGAGCCGGAGGCACGCCAGGCGCCAGGGGGCGTCGAGGGCGCGGGGCCGCCACGCACGTTCTGCGTGGCTCTGCAGGGGAAGCCGGGGAGCCTGCTCGGCGCCACGCTGGCCGACTGCAGCGGAGACGTGCGGTTGCATTAAGTCGGGCACGTCCCTCTGCAAGAGGAGTTTTCGAAAATTGTTGAACAAAATAGTCGGGGTACGATTTTCCCATTGTTATTATCATTATTATTATTATCATTTGACTATTATTGGGTATCTTTTGGGTATTTTTGATTTTTTGTCCAGAGTCCGCCTGTAGGGGGACATGCCCGACCTCACGGTAGCAAGTCATGGGAGATTTGCATGCCCTCGAAGTTCCGTTTGCAGAGTGCGGTACATCCCAGGACGACCGTTTTTTTCCCCCTTGTGCCTGGAGCGACGGCTTGAAGTCTTGAGCAGGCGCGCATGTGATAACCATCGTGGGATCCAATTAAGTTCTCGCGGATGACTCAATTTTGGTTTTTGTTTCTGTTTCGGTGGATCCGACTTCCGTCCGCGCGGATCCGATTTCGGATTTTCTGGATCCGCGTTTTTACGGCGGATCCGACTTCCACCCTGTTTTCAGTTTAATTTTATGTGGATCCGATGTCCACCCCGTTTTAAGATTTTATTTTTGAGTGTTCGCCAGCGTGGGCCCCAAAAGTAGGTTCTTGCATGTGCGATGCAACTTATGTAATTCAAACATATGCGGTGCAATCAGTGCGGTGCAATCTATGTGGTGCAATCTACGCAGTGCAACCTACGCGGTGCAATTTGTGCGGTGCAATCTATGTGGTGCAATTAACCTTGACCGTCTTGAAGCTGTCCTCTCCACTGCTCGTGCAAACATCCCACCCTCCCACCCGCAACTTGGTCGCAAGACCTCTTCAGACAAGACCGTGACGGTAGGTACCACATGGCACTTGGCCACGACACCGACGCCGACGACGACAGCGACATCGACGACGACGGCGCCGCCGACACCGACTGCGACGACACCGACGACGTCTCCAATGTTTTCGACGACAACGACGACGACGACACCGACGACGATGACGACAACGACGCCGACGACGACGACGAAGACGACGACGACGTCGCCAACGGAGACGACGACGAGGGAGGAGAAAAAATGACGACGGCGACAATGACGACAACGACGATGGAGGAGGGAAGAAGACGGCGACGACGCCAACGACGAAGAAAGAGGAAGGGCGGCGACGCCGACGACGACAACGACGAGGGAGGAGGAAAGACGACGACGACGACAACGACAACGACGACGAAGACGACGACGACAGCGACGAAATAGGAGGGACGACGACGAGACGCCGACGACGGACGACGACGACGAGGGAGGAGGATAACGACGAGGGAGGAGTGAAGACCACGACGACGACGACGACGACGGCGACGAAATAGGAGGGACGACCACGAGACGCCGACGAAGACAACGAGGGAGGAAGGACGACCACGGCGACAACGACGACAGAAGCGACGACGACGCCAAGACGACGACGACGACGAGGAAAGACAGAAGAAGACGACGGTGACGACGACGACGACGAGGGAGGAGGGAGGACGACGACGACGACGACGACGACGCAAGAGCGCGCGCGCACACTTTTGTTGAAAACCCGTGTTGCGAAACCTTGTGTTTTGTAGGTTTTTTGGACGCACGATTTCGAAATGCTTCCGAAACCGAAGGTTTTTGAAGGATTTCGGCATACGCCCGCGACGACGCGCGCGTCTGCACTTCGTCCCATTTTTTGCAGAGGATTCTCGCGACGGCACACGCGCAAGGGCGTTCGACAGATTTCGACATTCGCTCGCGCGAAGCCCGTTTGGTAGCATGTTGTGAAAATCTTGAAAAACCGATGGTTTTCTTAATATTTCGCAAGAGCTCACGCGTAAGCTTTTTTAGCAAATCAGTGTTGCGAAGCCATGTGTTTTTGTATGTTTTTTGGAAATTCAATTTTGAAATATCTCCGGAACCGAAGGTTTTTGAAGGATTTCGGCATGCGCGCGCGACGACGCGCGCGTGTGCACTTCGTCCAATTTTTTGCAAGGGATTCGTGAAACAGTGCTATGTTAGAACAACACATGTCACCGCATAGTTTTTTTACAAGGGAACCTCAGGGGGGGGAACCGGCCTGCCTGGGATGATGCGATTTCATATTTAGGATGGACGAGCGTGCAGAATATTTATTTATTTATTATATATATATGTATATGTGTATATATACATAATATGAAATTATAGTATCCCAGGGGGAAGCGTTCAGTCCCGGGTGGGTAGAGTCTATTCTCTTTTTAGAAAGGTGAAGTCACTTGCCGAACTTGAAGTTGCCAACTCCACTGCTCGCGCAATAATCCCACCCACCCACCCGCAACTTGGTTTGCAAAACCCATGCGGGACCGAGCACAGATATCGCTCCGGGGTCGTCTTGGAGCCCTCGGGGGCGTCTCAAGATAGCCCCAAGAAGGCCGGAGAAGCAAGACGGCCGACGACGACGACGACGACGACGGCGGCGACGACGACGACGCCGACGTCGACGACGACGAAAACGACGACGCCGACGCCGACGACGACGAAGACGACGACGACGACGTCGCCAACGAAGACGACGACGAGGGAGGAGGGAGGACGACGACGGCGACAACGACGACAACGACGACAACGACGACAACGAGGGAGGAGGAAGGACGGCGACGACGCGAACGACGAAGAAGGAGGAAGGACGGCGACGCCGACGATGACAACGACGAGGGAGGAGGGAAGACGACGACGAGACGACGACAACGACGACGACGACGGCGACGAAATAGGAGGGACGACCACGAGACGCCGACGACGGACGACGACGACGACGAGGGAGGAGGAGGAAGGACGACCACGGCGACAACGACGACGGAAACGACCACGACGCCAAAGAGGACGACGACGACGAACACGAGGAAAGACACAGGACGACGTAGGCAACGACGACGACGACGTGGGAGGAGGGAGGACGGCGACGACGACGACGACGACGCCGCAAGGGCGCGCGCGCGCTTTTGTTGAAAATCCGTGCTGCGAAACCTTGTGTTTTTGTAGGTTTTGTGGACGCGCGATTTTGAAATCCTTCCGAAACCGATGGGTTTTGAATGATGTCGGCGTACGCGCGCGACGACGCGCGCGTCTGCACTTCCCCCCCCCCAACCATCCTGTGGTGTTGGGTCCTCGTTTTGAAGAGACGGTGCCCCGCGTCTCCTTCCTTCCTCCTCCCCCTCCTCCCTCCTCCCCCATCCTGGCTTTTGCTCTCCGCATGTCTCTGTTTCGGCACACCCCTCACACGTTTCGTGGCCCCATAGGGAGCTCCACCTAAGGTCCCAGTGGCGGAACTCGCATGGCGCCGCCGCCCCATTTTGGCACACCCCTCACACGTTTCGTGGCCCCATAGGGAGCTCCACCTAAGGTCCCAGTGGCGGAACTCGCATGGCGCCGCCGCCCCATTTTGGCATGGCGCCGGCCGCCTATTTGGGGACACGCTACATTTTCCCATAAACTCGCATCCCACGTGGCCAACTCGCATGGCGCCGCCGCCCCATTTTGGCACACCCCTCACACGTTTCGTCCCCATAGGGAGCTCCACTTAAGGTCACAGTGGCGGAACTCCCATGGCGACGGGGCGAGGGAACAGCGCTCTGGGGCAGTTTACGGCCAGACCTGCTGGGCGCGAGCAGTCCGCAGCCAGACCTCCTCTCGGTCTGTGGACTCTCGCCCTGGGCCGTCGGCTGCCCGGCGCGCTGCTCCCTCGGCCGACATCGCCCAGGCGTGATCCTGGACTGCGGCCGCCACGAGGTGGGGAACGGCAAGAAGGAGGACGACGACTGGTGGCTGGAGCTCTACGTCCTGCTCTCGCGCGCCACGCGCCACGAGGACCTCCTGCTCATGCGGGCGCCGCGCGTCGAGTTCTTCCTGGCAGGGCCGCCGGAGGGCTTGCGGAAGCAGCTGGGGCAGTTTGCGGCGCGCACGAAGCGGTGCAGAAGGGAGGCGACGGCCCTCGCCAGGGAGATGGGCTTCACCGAGTTTATCCGCGAGGCTTGACCTGAGGAGCGGCCCGCCCGAGACTCGCCGTCTCTCGACGGTCTGACTGTTTGGCCTCGCGCCGCGGGCGATCCGCGCGCGTCGCTGGGACCGTCTCGGGGCGACCAGCGCGCGTCGCGGGAATTCCGCGCTGCGCTCTGCCCAGAGCCTCGCTCGCCCCCGTCGTCGCTCTGCCCAGCGGCCGCAGTCTTGCCCGCCATCGCCCAGCCAGCTAGCACTCTCTCTGCTCCGCGCAGCGGACGACCCGCGCGCGTCGCCGGGACCCCTTCGGGGCGACCAGCGTGCGTCGCGGGGACTCAGTGCGGCGCCGCGCCCGCAGCCATGGACATCGGCGTGCGCGGGCGAAGAGGCAGAAAAAAGAAGGGGAAGGAAGCGGGCGCGATCCTCGTGAGGGGCGTGCCGACATGGGCGTCGACATTGATGCGCGTAGACTGATTCGCGCGCAGACACATTCACAATCAGACTTACTCGCGCTCAGGCTCACCCGGTCTCAGTCTCGCGCACTCAGAGCGATCGTCTTTGTTCGTATTGGGGGCCCCGCCACGCATTTCGGCATGCCCCCTCGCACGGTTCGTGGCCCCATAGGGAGCGCGAGCGAAGATGAGATCCACATTCGCGGTATTCACAACTGCATATGGTTGGGTCCTTCGCCGGGTTATTTTTTCCAGAGGGTTCTCGCGACGGCGCGCGCGCGAGGGCGTTCGACAGATCTCGACATGCGCGCGCGCGACGCCCGTTTGGTAGCATGTTGTGAAAATCTTGAAAACCGATGGTTTTCTTAAAATTTCGCAAGAGCTCGCGCGTAAGCTTTTTTAGCAAACCAGTGTTACGAAACCTTGTGTTTTTGTATGTTTTTTTTTGAACTCGATTGCGAAATCCTTCGGGCTCCGAAGGTTTTTGAAGGATTTCGGCATTCGCGCGCGACCACGCGCGCGTGTGCACTTCATCCTTTTTTTCCCAGCCATCCTGTGGTGTTGGGTCCCCGTTTTGAAGAGACGGTGCCCCGCGTC